CTGTCTTGAGGGAAATGGAAAAAACCAGAGGGGCTCGTGATAGGTTTGAATTCCTGAAAAAGGTATATACAAATGAGCTCCTTAGAGCATGGTATGCTAGAGGCGATGACAAGCAAGTGGAGCTCATTCGAGGACTTTGAGAGGATCCATGAGTACAACTGGGGGCACTTATTTGATCTACTCGTACTCTAAGTTATCCCAGGGCTATAGGTGGAAGAAGAAGTAGGTGCAAGCATCATCACACTTTTGACGATAATATTTATTGGTCTTCCAATGTTTGCAATGCCCTTACTAGTAATTCGTGGGTTTCAACAATTTTCAGGTTTGGATCCTCTAGCACTTCCCATGCATCTCCGGTTGGTCATGTGTACCAACCTATACTAAGGATATATTGTGTGCTTATGCATTTTCCCCACTCAGAGAGAACCAATTGATAGAGTTGTTTCGAGTGTATCTTGATCGCTTGGTAGCCAAGGACATGCATTTTAACAGTTATGTCGATTAGCATGAAATGCAACCATTTGAAGACAAAATATCATACTTTGGATAGTTGGTTGCAGTTCACGTCTGACATTTCCCCGTCTTTTTAAGCGTGTCATGCGGATGTCCGGTTACACCCAGGCTATTCCCATAAACCATGTTGGCTTTGCTCCTCCTGCGATGACACATAGAGATATGGATGTCATGTTTGATAATTGTATTAGTCATTTGGTACCGAATGAGACATGTAGTAGCATAGATGAGAGTGAATGGGTATATGTCAACGGGTACATCAGATGGTTCTTCAAGGTGCCACATCCATATAAGGTGCATGATGCTCCAGAAGATCCACCAAGACCATCTCATCAAGAGATACTAGAAGAGGAATATGCACTTTTAAATCATGCTCATGATGTATTGTCTAGATGTCGTTACATTGTGGAGATTGCGCATGAAGATATTGACAAAGGTATATTTCCTAATGGTTCTGGGGTGAGGGAGGTTTTAGATGCCATTATGATGGAGGCACGAGAGACACTGATGTAGAGGAGAAAGCATCGAAGGACGGGGGCAGAGGAGGTCAAGGACCCATAAGAGCTATAGTTTGGCATTCGTAGTAGTTGATAGTATTTATACTTTGGATTTATTATTGATTGTATTTTATTTTAACTCATTTCAACTATATTGTGTATTTTGAGTTCATTGTGTATAAGCTAATGACTTATTTTGACCATCTAGATTTGTATATGTCATTTTTTGTATATCGATTGTATAGTTCAATGTTTATCACATAATAGGGGATTTAACATTTATAAATCTTCATTTTCATTTGAGTAACCATAAAACTAAGTTAGCTTACATTGCTTTAACTGTTTACCGAGATGCATCTCCGTAAATCCTAAATGGAGATGCATATCTGGAACAATAAATGTGTAAAATAGGTCTTTCAGAGAGAGATGCATGGGGTGTATATTGAAATATTTCAGAGATGAATATCCGGATCAATTAATGTTTTGACTTAAGATAAGGTGCGTCCGGATATTCGTATGATGCTTTTCCACCACATAGGGTGAGATAAGAAAATCCCTTAGTATTTTAGTGTTTGGATTTTATTGATCTAATTTAAAGTTTGGGTTTCTTTAATATTTTATCAATTGAGATTTTTACCATTTAGAAGACAACAACTTTAGAGGATGCTATTGTATAAGATCTCTTGCGCTTGTGTCAATTTTCTTCATGTTAGGGTTAAATAAGATTTTGATAAAAGAAGGTTTGAAGAAGAATGGTGAAACATAAATCGAACAAACTAACAACATAAATTACCTAAGAAAAAATTAAAATAAAAAACTAAGATTGCAAAGTTTATAGTAAAACCCATATTCAAAAATCAAACGTCGTCAATTTTTTTAATGAAACCCTTAACTCTAAAGATGAACCAAACAAAAGTTATATTATTGGGCTCTTTCATTTCCCTCATGACTTCAACATATGAGCTTTTTACAATTGGTTAGATGACTTCTACATACGAGCTTCTTACAATTGGTTAGAATAGTGGAGAAGAAATTAGAAAAATATCTTATAATTTTAAGGGTTAATACTAAATTCGTTCTTTGTCATATGGGGTGAATTCCAAAAACGTCCATGTAAAAAAAAATACAAATTTTGTCTTTGGCAGTTTTAAGATTCTTTTATTTTGACTTTTCCATAGAATTAGTCAACAAAATAAATGACATAACACTGACACATTAAATTTATTTTTGTTTTCATTTATTTTTTTTAGATACGAGGCTACCACATGTTATATTTTTATCCTTATTTTTTGATTAAGTAAAACATGTAATAAACTTATATTATATTTATTTAGAAAAAATAAAAAGTTTGAGATTGTTCCATAATCCCTCGAAAAATTAAAAAAGAAGCATGTGCATCCGTTCATCTTCTCACCTAAATAGTCTGAGTTAGGAATGCTTGAAAACACCATTGTTGGTTATTCCTTCAGTCGCATATTTGGTTTCAATAAACTACACATCATTGTTTCAAAGTATTTCACATTTCTCTTACGTTTTCATTTCTAATAGTTTAAGACAAAATAAATAGATTTTGATTGTGCCACTTCCATTAACATATAGGTATAGGTATGTTCAGTGTTATCTTTCACCATGCGAAAGAGTTTGTCTTTGAAAGCTTCATTTTTTTTTATAGAGGAGGTGCTTAAACAATCATTACAGAGATATATCAGATGGTCTTATTTTGAAGCACTTAGCATTTAAAGTGTTACTTCTAAGGTGATAGATTTCTTTGATAAGTTTCTCATTTTTCATTTTCTAAAGAGGTGACATGAATTTTAGAAGTGATAACAACATTTACTAGCATATCATTTTCTCTATTTAGATTTTTGCATATAGAGTTTAAAATTTGAAAGTAAAAATTTTTCTTACCTCTATTTACCTTATCATCCTCATAGTCGGTCATAAGACATATATTTTCCTCATCCTCAGATTCAAAAGATGAGTATGGATCATTACTTTCGTTTACAGTAAACTTTTTGTTTTCTTCTATTTCATTTTGAACCTTGTCTTTTTTCATAAATTCTTTTTCTTTGACTTTCATGATAATTTTTAGCTCATCCAATATATCCTAGAATTATATCTTGTAAATGCTTTTGATTTTCATCATTTTCCATGGCCTTTTAAAAACACTAAGATTTACCCTCGTTAGTCAAGGTCACATACTCATCACAATTATACTTTGTAGAAGGTTGTTTATGGTTGTTAGACTTCCTAAGTTAAACTTGAGATGATTCTGGAACTTCACCAAGATTCTCATGTTGTGTCATATCATTCTCCCTTTCATCGTCATTAGGTAGAATATTTACCTCATCTCTAAGTTGTTGATCTTAAACATAATCATATGGCTCACCATTTTGATAATTACTGCCAATAGTATCGATATTATGAACAGGTAACCGAACTGGAGCAATATTAGACAAATTTAAATCTTTCTTTGGTGTATTCTTCTCCACCTTATTAATGTCTTCAATAGTTTGGTCTTCAATGAACACCACATAGAGGCTACTGATAAACTTCTTTCCTATAGGATCATACAGCCTTTAACCAAACTCATCTTGCCCATAGCTGATAAAGATACATTGTTTTGACTTTGCATCTAACTTGGATCTTTCATCCTTTGAAATATGCAAAAAAAAATCTTGCAACCAAAGACTCTCAAATGATCATACTTTACATTCTTTCAAAACTAAATTTAGTTTGAAACTTCACTATTCAAAGCAACAATAAGAGTGAGATTAAGAACATGCAGCCGTGTGTAAATTGTCTCACCCAAATAATGATTGGGCAACTTAGATTCACAGAGCATACACCTTACTGTCTCAATTAGTGTTCGATTCATCATTTATATTAAACTATTCAACTGAGGAGTTTTAGAAGGAGTCTTTGCATGTGCAATACCATACTGCTTGCAATACTCGTCATGAGCATTACAACAGAACACACCGCCTGACCACCACCATGTCAGTAAGACTTTCGATACAAGGAGTCGGTTCCTTACTTGAATCAAGGTCTGATACGATTAATGGGTCATCATGTGGGGGAAGCATCCACATTTAATTAAATATTCATCTAAAGATCAAAGACTCACGTAAACAAGTGAGAAAGACACCATATATTCACCCAAACTCTTAAAATAGTAAATGTATGAATCATCTCATTTATAAAGTGTTAAATCTTCACTTTTTTAAATGATATGAAATTTATACAACTCATATATTTCCCAACAATTAAATGAAAAATATTTTATACTTAAACAATCAATACGCTTAGTTTCATATAATCATAGTGAATAAGCTAATGATTGAATTCCAATTATATTTCGTTGCTTAAAGACCAAACTACTACCCGTAATGAGAAGAGACTAATTTCTTATTCCTTACAAATATTTAATACTAGTACTCTAAAATTGACTTATCTCACACACTAGTAGATGTACATTCATTTAAACAATTTTTTCTCTAATTTATAACACAATTTTATCAAATTGACTTCTCGTGTTCTATGTAAAATATCAGTACTATTATTGATTCTTTATTATTATTATTATCATTATTATTAAAATGTGAAATCACTTTTTTCTAAATACAGCAACAAAAAAGGAAAAAGTTTATTTTTTAATCAAATTTTATATTAATGATATCCTTATGAGAAAAAATATCCTCCAATAACTACTATCCACGACACAAGCTACTAGTTGTAAACGAGTAGTTGTAAACAGCAAAAGAAAAACCCTAGGACTGAGGCACAATACTGATTTCTCCAAAAAAAAAGAACACGTGTCAATCTTTTAGTACCTGAGCCAACAAGAAATAAGAATAAGGATTTCTCTAACGTCCCATTTCATTTTTTTTTCTTCCTACTTTGTCATTCGCTTCATCACTGTTTTATCTATAAATCCGTTTTTCTTCTTTAATTTCAAACTCAAAAAAAAAAAAAAAAAAACAGAGAGAGATGGAACAGAGTAGTGGCTTTTGGTTAGAGAGTGAGATTGAAACTGCTGAAATTCTTGCTCATTTGTATCATACTTTTTCTTTGTTCAGCCATGTGCCGTACTCATGGGGGTGTAGAAAGAAGAGATCTCCAATTCGTAATACACCTCCTTCTAATGGCGGCGGGGCAGCCACCGTTGTTCCTCCACCTCCTTCTAATGGCGGCGGGGCAGCCACCGTTGTTCCTCCACCTCCTCCTCCTCCTTCTAACGCCGTTAAAGTGAAAGCTTCAAGTCCAACAACCCCTCTTTCGTTTCCAACAACTGAATCAGATGACAAGATTAAACATTCCGAAAGAACAACTTCTCTCAAAAGGGTAAAACAATCTCATCCTTCTATGTGTTAATGGCTTTTATGGAATTTTTTTTTGGTTTTTATTATTTTTTTGCCATTTTAACGTTATTTTATATAAAAATACCCAGTTTTATAATTCTGTATTTTATTTTTTGGTTTATTTCTGAATTTTGGATTATGGCTTTTATGTCAACAGAAGAAAGAACATTATCTTAATATAATTGAGGAATTGACAAAAACCAAAGACTCTATCAGTCAAGTAAGTTTGTTTTATTCTCTTGTTTATTATATTTGGGATTTTTTTAATGAACTTTTAGACCCAAATCTGGTTTTGTTTTGTTTTTCTGAATATTTGATATTTTAAATGTAAATAGGAGATTGCAAAAGTGAAACTTCAATGTGAAGAATTGAAGCTCTCCAATTCCAAATTGAAAGCAAAACAAATAAAGGTATGCGTTGTCACTGCTAATAATTTGCTCTTTTTTTCATAATGATAATTAAATTTCAATTTATTCACAAAAATCTATCTACCTGTTTTTGGTTTCTTGGATTACTTTGCTTATCCTTAATTTATTTTTGGACTTGTTTGCTTTGCCAATCCTGTTTTTTGATTTATGGAAATTGCTATTTTTACAGCTAAAAATTAATGGTCCTAAAGGTGAATACAAAAATCCCAATTTAGAAATTAATAACGCAATGAAAGTGAATGATATCATCAAAAATTCAGTCAACACTTCCAATTCCGCTACTCAAAATGAAGAGCAAAGAATTCATCATGCCAACAAATTCAGGGTTGATCCAACGACGTCGTTGGGAGTGGCATCATCATCATCTTCATTGGGCCGCAACAGTGATAATAAGGCCCCATTATCCATACCTGATTTGAACATATCTTTTGAAGCAATTAAAGATTTGAGTAAAGTAAGAGAAGCTCAAGCAAGACAAAGAAGGATTCACATTTTGAGACTCAAGAGAAATAATGCCAAACAACACCAGTCTTCCTAATAGATAGTAGTAACTATTAAAACAGTTTTGTTTTAAAAAGTTATATGTGAATATTCATCATAAATGTTTCTTTATTAGAAATTCTTGTGATGTTGGGACTAAGGTTACTATAAAGTAGGAGTACTACATTGCGAAATTTGATGCATCTTGGTCAATAAAATATTTTCGGAAATTATATATATGTTTAGTAATGTTTGAGATTTCTACTGTTGCGAATACGCAATTACTATATTTGGATGCAATTCCGTTTGGCATAATGTAAAATCTGTATTAAGAGAATTTAAATGTCACGCAAATGCCTAGGATTGCGAGGGTTGACATAATATGATAAATTTATGAATCATATAGTATAACATAAAATAATGGCTAGAATTGACACATTCCCTTAGGTTCTACTAATTTAATACCGCAAAATTGTATGTCTAAGTTTTTGATAATATTTGCCACCGCATCTACATATTATAAAATAATTTATTTTATTATATTGTGGTATGATATTTAAGTACATGAACTTAATATTTTATTTATTTATGGACGATATGAATTAATCACTCACATTTGAATTCAACAATTTTTTATACGAGAATGAATTTTTCACATTCTTTAACAAGATCCAGCTGACGATCTATCTCTTATTCACTATAAAGTTGAATCAAAATTTAATATTATTTGTTGGAGAGTTTGAGGAGTTTGAAGTACAATCAATGCTTCAGGATCACACGAGAGGAAAACGTTACATCTTGACCCAAAATTTTTAAGGCTCTTAATACTACATTCTAATACTACATTCTAAAAATCAAATATATAACTACATCTTACAACACTTGAACACAATAGTATAAGAGGGGGAAAAAGTTAAGTACAAGTTTAAAGGGTTTTTGACTCGTGCATTTAAAACAAAGAACTAAAGTCCTTTATATACGGTTGGCTTCCTGATTTCTTTACAATATTCGGTGATGTGGGGCTTCTTCAATATATTGTCAGTCAATGCCAATATTTTCCACCTTGATTATACATCAACTTCCATTGTATACACAAATAATCATAGTTCGAAGAACTATCATAATCTACTAAAAAAGTATAGTCATTTGAAGCTACATCACTCCAATAATTTTTACAGTGTCTTTACCAACAATAATAGTTCAAAAGAACTATAACACTTCACCATAAATAATATAGTCACTTGAAACTACATCACTCCAAGAATTTTCACAATATTTTCACTAATAATCATAGTTCAAAATAACTATTATACTCCACTAGAAGAGTATAATCACTTGATGCTACACCATTCCAAGAATTTTTAAATTGTATTCACCGACAATCATATTTCAAAAGAACTATCGTATTCCACCAAAAGAATATATTTCACTTGAAGTTAAATCACTCTAAGAATTTATACATGTCAAAAATCATGCTAAAAACATATGGTGCAACTTTCGTGTTGACAGAAAGCTAACCACTGGCAAAATCTCACATTGCACTTTCCATCAGTGTCAATCAATGTTCATGTAATAATTAGCTCCTTGTGTAATTCTGATTGTATCAACACACCATTAAATTGAATTTTTCACAAGTCATAGATGATTCTTCCATCAATTTTCTCTAAGTAAAAGCTCACTGCACTTGAAAAGTTTGACGTTATAAACAAACTATTTCCCAACCAACACTAGCTATAAATTATTTTTTAAAGTGATGATTAAGCAAAGGCTATAGAACAATCCCGTTAAACCATTTTTAAAAAATTTTCTCATACAAAATCAGAGTTCAATAAACGAAAGCACAGATGACCGACAGAAGCAAAATATAATGGATGGTATGAAAGACTATATGTTTCAATGTCGATTGAAAATATATGATTCAATCAAAAGTCAACATAACAAAATTAAATGAAGTTATTTTGACAAGCAATTCAACAATGATCATAACTCAATTTTGTCCATAGCTCAAAATTGATGTATATCAAAAATTTATTGATTAAAAATTAATATCCTTACAAATATAATCAAGAGATAAAATAATCTATGAATTTGATACATCACTGACCTAAAATTATATGATAAAACATTGTAAGTAAGGTCAAGATCTAGATAACATGATATTCTAAAAGATAAGCAAATTTACAACATGTGATATAATGCAGAAATGTAAAAGAGATAAGCAGGAAAACAATTTTACACCAGATTTATAATGGTACAACTCATTCTTCCTCGCTAGAGCTTAGTCCAATCAATAATGGTTTCACTATTGAAAATTATAAGGTCTTCCATCATTTGCATAATTAATATATAAGTACTTTTCGTAACACATATTGTTCTCGATTGTCGTTCCAATCTACCCCACATGACCCAAGGTATAAACTCATTTCACGTGAAACACAAGGTACACTTTCAAATATCCAATTTTCACCATACACATCTTGAATCTTGAATTTACTTAGGTGTTAGAGTGCTAACCTTGAAGGTCCACCCTCGCACCATCGTCTCAGAGATCAGAGCCAGAAGTTCAGGATTCAGAATCATCAATTTGCATTCAATTTTGGTTCTTGAACGAATCATTGGTCCCATTAATGGGAAATGACTCTAATCTCGCAAAAATTCCACAAATCAACCATCCTAGATCCGAACTCAGATTTGGACGAGAATTACCAAAGAATAGAAGTAATTACATCAATGACCGTACAAAAGGCTCTCAATCGAACTTTCAGTATCACTTTGCCTCAATTTTCCATCATTAACAAGATCCTTATTGTCAACTCCAAAGATGTGGCAAGTTTGTAATAGCTGCTGGCGTTGTTCCATTACTAGAGTACCCTCTCCATGTGGCGAAGAACCTTTGAACAAAAAACAAAGATCATATCACCCAAGATTTACTAGATTACGACAAAATAAACCAAATTCCAAATGCAAAATTATCAGCGAAGGAAGCGGTTATCACTGTGAATCATATTATACATCGTTATATTATACATCGTTACGACGTGAAGGGTTGTATATTCTTATTTTTATCTACCGCGTCTTATTATTAGTCCTAGGATCCAAAACATTGCTATATTTGGTCGTGATACGTCGATTAAAACACATCTACCACATAGTAATTTGGCATTGAGTCAAGATATGAATATCTAAATGCACAAAGTCGTTCGAAGAATAAGAAATTTTTAAGAATCACAAATACAGATCTACAAAGGATTGCAATAATTTCCACCGCTAACAAAATTCCTTACGAGGTATCTCATAGGCAATAAGCTTTTGGCGATAACTTCTAATGCAATGCAATCACCCACTAGATCTCCACCGAACGGAACTGGATGTACAATATAACAGGGATCCTTTAGTCTTCAACAACTTTATACCTTACTCTAGTGGAATGAGGAAGACGATGCCTTGCAGCGAAGAATACGCGGGGAAAAGGAACCGCTGGGCTTCCTATAACGTTGAAGCAAATTTTTATTATTATTCAATAAAAAAAGTAGTTTGTTTTACAATAAAGAAGTGTTATTGATTTATTGGTTTATATTGATTTATCCCCTTTAATGTGAGTGAGTTTTGATTTACCCATTTTCCCCTAATTAAAATATTAAAAAAATTATATATTTTTTAAAAATACACGTGAATTTAAAAAAATTAAAATATTAACCACCTAGAATGTCAGATCAACATAATAGAATATTTCTTATTTTTATTGATTAATTGCTCAAATATTTATTACAACATTTCAATTAATGCTATTAAATAATAAATTTTAAATTCAATTTTACACATTTAATAAATAAATGATTTAAGTAAATACTATTACATAAATAAATAATATTAACACTTTAATAAATACCAATTTCTAATTTTTTTTATTTTAATTTTTTATCATTATAATATATGAATAACATTACAATACATATTTAAATACTAAATAAATATAAAGTTTTTATTACTTAATAACGTATATGATTTGATGCAAATAATTTAACAATAAAACTAAACAACACAGCAGAAATTTAGTACATTTGTGGAGGACAAATTTTTAAATTTTAGTATTTAAACTTTTAACCATCAAATAATAAGATAATAATAAAGTTCGTCGTGAAGTAAAAATGAAAAATAAAAATAAAAATTCAGTTGAATTGCACGTTACATGTAAAATAAAATAAATAAATAAATCAACAAGGAATTTGTGTTTTTTTACACATACTCTATTTCAAAATTTCACGTCACTAAATAATAAAGGGCAAAAGATGTATTAACCCAAAAATCTAAATATGTCTTCCTGGTAGCAGCTCAATGTAGTTTGAGCAATACTACTTCCACTACTATCTAATGAAAGAAGATTAGTGTTGTTTGGCCTTATTTCTCTTGAGTCTCAAAATGTGAATCCTTCTCTGTCTTGCTTGAGCTTCTCTTACTTTACTCAAATCTTTAATTGCTTCATAGGGTATGTTCAAATTATGAATGGATAATGGGCCCATATTATCATTGTTGCGGCCCATTGAAGATGATGATGCCACTCCCAACGACGTCGTTGGACCAACCCCTAAATTGTTGCCAGGATGATTGTGCTCTTCAGTTTGAGTAGTGGAATTGGAATTGTTGACTGAATTTTTGATGATATCATTCACTTTCATTGGCTTATTAATCTCTAAATTGGGAATTTTGTATTCACCTTTGGGACCATTAATAGTTAGCTGTAAAAATAGCAATTTCCATAAATCAAAAAACAAGATTGGCCCCACCTTGGACACAATACAACAAATGTAAAACAAACAACACCAAATAAAATCAAAAGTAGATGAAAATTTGTGAATAAATTGAAAATTAATCATCATTAAGAAAAAAAGAGCAAATTATTAGCACTAACAACGCATACCTCTCTTAATTTGGAATTGAAGAGCTTCAATTCTTCATATTGAAGTTTCACATTTGCCATCTTCTATTTACACATCAAATATCAAATATTCAGAAAAACAAAACAAAACCAGATTTGGGTATAAAAGTTCATTAAAAAAAAAATCCCAAATATAATAAACAAGAAAATAAAACAAACTTACTTGACTGATAGAGTCTTTGGTTTTTGTCAATTCCTCAATTCTATTGAGATAGTGTTCTTTCTTCTGTTGACATAAAAGCCATAACCCAAAATTCAGAAATAAACCAAAAGAAAAAAAGAAAAAATACAGAATTAATAAAACTGGGTATTTTTCTATACAATAACGTTAATATGGCAAAAATAATAAAAACCGAAAAAAATTTCATGAAAGCCATTAACACATAGAAGGATGAGATTATTTTACCCTTTTGAGAGAAGTTGTTCTTTCGGAATGTTTAATCTTGTCATCTGATTCAGTTGTTGGAAACGAATGAGGGGTTGTTGGACTTGAAGCTTTCACTTTAACGGCGTTAGAAGGAGGAGGAGGAGGAGGAACAACGGTGGCTGCACCGCCGCCATTAGAAGGAGGTGTATTACGAATTGGAGATCTCTTCTTTCTACACCCCCATGAGTACGGCACATGGCTGAACAAAGAGAAAGTATGATGCAAATGAGCAAGAATTTCAGCAGTTTCAATTTCACTCTCTGACCAAACGGAATCACTCTGTTCCATCTCTCTCTGTTTAATTGTGTTTGAAATTTTGGAACAAAAAGGATTTATAAATAAAACAGTGAATGAAAAAGAATAGTACTATTAAGAAGATGAAGATGAACAAGTTTGTGAAAAACAAAATTTGAGAAAACTTTGTTCTTGTTATGCTTATTTCACGGAACAAAAAGGAAAGGCTCAGGTATCAAGGTTGTGACACGTGTCCACGTAGAATTCAGGGTTGCGACTCTCTCATTACATAGATGACTAGGGTTTAGGCCACTTTTCAACTTCTTTGTGTTTGCGTTTGTGGTTTATTTTTGGTAAATATATATTTAATTGCTTTCATTACTCATAAGGATATCACTAATCATATCACTAACTTTTTGTTGTTGTGATTTATAAAATCAATTTGTATTTGAATTTTTTAATCATTAGTATTAGTATTCAGTTCACTGAATCAATTAATTCTATTCTGAATTAATTATGACATCAAATTATTTTATCTTTCTTTTAAAAATTATATAAATTTTGCAACTCATTAATTAATTTTATAAATTTATATCGTGCTTATAAAAAAAATTATATGGTAAAATATATTAGTATCGGAGTTTTAATCAGGAATATATTATTCCAAATATTAATTTATTTCCATAATAAATGTGTCTGATATTTAGCATTTGAAAAAGCTTTCTTAGTTAAATAGAGGAAAACAACAAGATTAATATTGTGTCACAAATATGAAACACGCCTAATTTTTTAAATAAAATATTACTTGGAACATAAGTATTAGAAGAGATAAAAAGAATTATTGGTGTTTATACTCAATCAAATTATACAAAAATGATTTGACCACTTCAAATTTTATAATCCTCGCTTAATAATAAAATAAAACAAAAGTAATTGACAATAAAACAATAATAAAATAAATAATTGACAATAAAAATTTATAACTAACCTTAATGTTGTAGACCGACAAATTTGTGAACCCTTTCCTCTCTACTATAACCTATTTTAGTATTTTAGTGACTATCCATATTTATACCTAACTAGGGTGTGAAATGGTAAATCCTCTTCATTACAATTTATTTTATGAACTCTATGTATTTATAATAATTCTTTTTCATTTTTTTATATTACTCTATGTGGGACTTGAATTAGTATTCACTTAATTTAACATATTTTCTTCTATCTATCTTTAACTTCATTTTTAATCTCGGAGATACATTTCTACCTCCACCTATCAATCCTTCACTTGTAATGGTCTATCTCAAGCAGGGTAGAGCATTGGTTGACGTTACTTGGTGCATGGCTTTCCTGATACATATGTTGAGATGTTGTGTAATTTTTATTCTAATCACAACCCAATTGTCCTTAGGTGTGGCTTACTCCTCCAAGTTCACGGGCCTCGTCCTTTTAAGTTTGAGGCAGTTTTGATCACTCACCTATAATACTCAAATATAATACAAAATACTTGGAGAAAATCCTCAAATGCATTATATTTTGTCTCCAAAATGTACAACACGATTATATCCTTTTTAATAAGGAAACAGAAGCAGAACCAGAAATACAACATTGAGAATAAATTCGACAAGACTAGTTTATATCCAACAAGACCTTCAATAGAAGTATGATGAGATCCTAGCACAAGAGGAGATTCATTGGTATCAAAAGGATGAAGACGATTGGATTAAATTGGGAGATCGAAACACCAAAATTTTTCATACCAAGACTGTAATCAGGCGGAAGAGAAATAAAGTCCATGACCTTCATCTTTCCAATGGTATTTAGTGCAATGATGATACTATTCTCAAGGAAGAAACACTAATTTTTTTTAAAGGTCTTTTCAACCCTACATCTCTTATACTCCTTGCTAGTATGAGCGACCCAACTACGACGCCGAGCCTTACTGAAGAAGCCCAACACTCTTTGACTCAATAGGTGACGAGGAAAGAAGTGATTTCTGTTTTGAATTAAATGCACCATTTCAAGGCGCGGTGGATTCCAGGGTATTTTCTCTAAACATTTTTGGCATATATTTATAGACGAAATTGTCCAACTAAACATTTTTGGCATATATTTATAGACGAAATTGTCCAACTTATATCAGATACTTTTGTGACAGGTAGCTTTCACTCTTCTCTTTCTGAGAATCTATATCACATTAATTCCTAAGGTAGAGTGCCTCCAAAATTTTAAGGGATTCAGGCCCATTAGTTTGTGCAACATTATTTATAAGCTTATTACGAATATTATGGTTAACATATTGCGTCCTTATCTAAATCAGATAGTTGGACCCTTCCAGAGTAGTTTTTTTCATGGTAAAAGGGACTATTGACAATGTCATTATCCTTCAATAAGCAATTCATTATATGCGTAAATCTAAAAAGAAAAAAAAAGTTGACATGGTATTCAAAATAGATCTTAAAAAGGCCTATGGTCATACTAATTAAGATTTCTTAGAATTTTGTTTGAAGCGAAATGGGTTTCCTCCCATTAGTATAAAGTTGATCATGCATTGTGTAACTAACTCCTCTATGTCTATTCTTTAGAATGGGAGACGACTACCAAATTTTGTTCTGACTAGAGGACTAAGGCAAGGTCAAGTGAAGGTTAGATACTATAAATCCTCTGAAAGACTCCAATATAGAGAGGGGTCCTCATAAGACATGTTAGAGGAGGTGCTAAGTTTTTGCTTGGTGTCAACAAGAGTATTGGATTGTTTGCATGACGCCATGTTAGCACGTTCGATGATCTTGATACATAAGTGCTTTGACTCAGAAACATGCCACTAGGATGACGAGATATAACAATACCCAAAAAATAACTCAAGGGACCTAAATCCTTCATCACAAACTCAAATTATAAGAGTGACATAATTGATTTGTGAAGAGCATGAGTAAAGGTGATAAGGATGATGTTGTCTGCATATAAAAGAATGTAGGCCATTTCAGAATTTTTTTGGTATATCAAGAAGGAGTGGTTTGATGTGTTATGGAGGGACATAATTAACAAAGCATTTGTACCATGCTATAGGAACTTGCTTGAGACCATAAAGTGATTTCTTCATACAACATACATAATCTAAATGATGGGGTCATGGAAACCCAGTGGATGATGTATGTAGGCAGTCTCATGGAGATCACCATGTAAAAATGCTTTTTTTACGTCCAGTTGATGAATAGGTCAGGATTTTGATAGAGCAATGGAGAACATTTTGCGAATGGTAACTAGTTTCACCATGGGACTGAAAGTTTCATCATAATCCACTCCTACATCCTGTGACCTGCAATCACCTATAAGACGAGCCCTATAACATCCAAAGGTGCAATCAAATTTTTTCTTATGCTTAAAAATATACCTAGATCGAATAATATTAGCATTACAAGGAAGAGGAACTAAATCACACGTCTTATTTCTAATAAGAGCATCAAATTCATATTGCATTGCGGATTTCCAATTCGAGTCAGATAAGACCATTTTTGGGTTTTTAGGTATGAGAGAGATGGTTCGCGTAGGTAGAGGCATTACTACAGAAAAACATATAATTAAGGTTATGAAACATATCTAATAACGGTTTCACGTCCGTTATTAGGTAGCATGTGATTTTATGTATGTTGGTTTCCACAACGAGCGAGTGACCGTGGTGGTATGTAAGGTAGCGCACTACTTAAAATAAAAGGTAAAGAAAACAACCATTGTGGTATGTGTAAGAGTTTATTAACCATATAAAATATTTCACCACGGTTATTTGTCCCAACCGTGGTGGTATGTGTAAGAATTAATTATAAAATTTGGGATTGCTTGTTTTTCCCTGCCTCTTATTAACCATATACAACCACTCAAATATATTTTTGAGATACTAATCATAAAAATTAAGAAGAAAATAATGAATGCAAGTTCAATGACTGATTAGTGAAATAAGCAATCACATATAATGTAACAAACTCACTAACAATATTTATCAACAAAAACATCAATTAATTAATATAGATTAGGAGAACTTGATAACTAACCGTTCTTGGAAAATTAAGACAAACTTGTAAAATGAAAGAAGGATGAAACTGAGGAGAAAGTTGCAAGCTGAGGATGAAACTTGAATGGATGGTATTGTAGGTCCATAACACAAGTTTGCATCTTTGACTTCAGTATCATCCTCTCTTGTATTTTTTATTCATAGCAACATAAATCAATTGTAATCCTACAAATACCATAAAAAATAGCATGTTAACATAAATCAGCATTACATTGTAATCTAACAAAAGGTTGTCAACATACATAACAATAACATCAAATAACAACAACACACACGAATAAGAGTGAATATGAAAAAGATTTTTCAGCAATAACAACCAAAAAAAAATCATGTGAAACATAACAAAGTCTTTAATCTTCGTCTGATTTTAATTTAGTTGCATTCAGATTCATTAGATTCTTCATAATAGCCTCTACCTTCCTTATCTTTTCAGGATTAAGATTCTTAAAATTTATCTTCTTATATCCTGTTTCACCAGATGGCTCAACAACACTAATGTGATTCTGAACAGCTTCAGCTTCCTTGGCTTTGTTCAACCATAACTCCACCATATGAATAACATACTTTGAAGCCTCAATCTCGTGGAAAAATTTTCTCGCACTATTCATGTTGAGAGAATGATATTAACTCTAAACAAGAAGAGAAACATTGTTTCAAAATAACATACAACAATAAAAAAAACCATAAACTCTCAAATAAGAAGAAAATCATGTGAAACATAACAACAACATACACGAAAACGAGAGAATAATGAAGAAGAAAAGTATCTTGATGTATGAAGAACAAGATTGAGGCTATATTGTAGAATAGGAAAGCTAATAACAAATAAGAAGGGAGAAAGTGTGTGTTTGGCTTTCACCGTGAGAGATATGTCGATACTGTTAACAAGCGATAGTTAATTCGCTTATATATGGGTAAACAATTTCACCACAGTCATATTCAAAAACCTTAATGAAATGTAAGAGGTGGGATACAAGCACGAAGGCAT